AGAAATAAATGAAATTATTAGATATTAGCAATGATAAAAAAATTTAACAAACCTATTTAATGTATAAATGTCTTCAAGGAAAATTTCTTCAACTAGATATGTGAATCCCTGTATATTCAAAGATGGACAGTCATTGTAATACTTGGAAAATGCTGCAGCATTAATATAACAGATATGAGGTATCTGGATTAACAGTACAAAAAAAAAAAAAATTAGTACAATTTAAATAAAATACTGTGCATAGCAATAAACATAATATGCATGTAATTACAACAGGTATGATGCTCTTGAGAATAGTTATTGTAAAATCACTAATGGTTTCACAATCATGTATTTCATCAATGATAATATGTCAGTAATAATTTAAAGCTGAATCTCTTTGGATATCTTGAAGTAAAATACCAGTAGTACAAAATAATATAAATCCATATTCACGACCTAATTTTCTAAAATATAATACATTATTTTAGATATTAGTTTCTTCTATTTATTTAATATTATAATCATGTACCTTGAAGAATAAATCATTAATATAAATGTATTCTCTAGTAGGTATTTCTCAACTCACTGTGAAAATTTAGTTGAAAATAAATGTAATATTAATAAACAATTCATATTAACCTATGCCAATAATTAAGGTGTACAACTTATTAGTTTGTACCTATATAAAATTTTAGATGTTCACACACTTCAATAGAACTTTATTTTGTATCAACTTGCCACTTAATAGCAATCTCCCAAAATACAGATCCCATTGTCATAACAATCAGATCAATAGTGACGTGTTCTAAAATATACTGAATTCAAAACTAGTTATGTGTTTCTTTGCAATTTAAATATGTTGAGGCCCTTTGTGTTATTGAAATTGGGTTGTTTCTCAGCAAAATTGTATTGCCTAAAAAATTAAAACTATGTTAAAAATATGTCAATGCACCATTTGTTTCTCTCTTGAATAATGAGCAACATGCAAGTGAGAGTACAGTAGAACCAGTTTTGTACTGTTAGCTTTAATATTAGAGTTATATGGCATAATATTATAATCAAACGTAAAAGCAAATATATTTTTCAAGGTACCTTATAGAGAAGCACTAAGCATTTATTTGTATTTTATTTTTAAAACAAGTTATAGATATTTTAATATTGTAAGATATAATTATTTATTTATTAATTTACTTTGACTAAACGGGCTGAGCCCTTTCGATATACAAATTTATGCCCACGTACACAATTAGATATTATCATACAATGTGTCCCGTGAACAGGTGGGTACGTTAGTTAGTAAAATAGCTTTAAAATAAAAACCTATAAACAATATTCTCACCTTTAAGTTTCATAACTCGCTCCAATATGGTATGTATATAATTATCTTCAAGAATGTCAACGTCTGAAAATTGTCAACACATTGGTTCAACTTAATAGTTTCTTGTATGTGGTACATCATATATTTCAGTTTTGAAAACCATAATAAGTATAATCCACTGTATGAACTAAAAACGATAAACCACTAAGTAACTTTTGGATTTGGCAAACATTTAAAATTGGAACTTGAGTAATATACTTATATAAGTGTGTGTGAATTAGATAGACATTATTAAGTTTCTAAGGCTTTTTTGGGTGAATTAAAATCATCGACTGTAACGTGTTCAAATCCTTTATTTGTCTGTTCATTTTCTTCAAACTCATCGTTGGAGAAATATAATTTTCTGAAAATATAAAGTTGTAAAACATATCTGAATACCTACCTAATTAATATTAAAATAATTCAATATTAAAAGATTTTACCTCTTAGATGATTTACTAGCCGTGCTCAGAGTGGTACCAGTGTTGCTGTAAATTATTAAAATTTCTTTTATATTGTTTATTTTACTCCTCTAAACAGACATGAGGTTTGGATTATGTTTTGTGACAGCCTCTGGCCATAATAATATCTACTATATACTGAGCCTTGTGTATAATTACTGATTGTGAAATGATTACCGCCGATTCTGCTCCAGATAGAAATTGGGTAATCATTTAATTTGAATATTTATTTCCTTCAATTTTCATTTTTTGTAAATCTATATTTGTGAACAAATTAGACTGGCACCATATTATTAAGAAATATAATCAGTACAACTAGAAAATAATGGTAAGTGTCCACTTGAGATTAAATAGTCTCGAGAGCAGTCTCGAGACTTAAGTCACAAATGTATATGAACCTGAGAGTACTCGCAGAGACAAGTCATTACTAATCACCGAGACTGCATGTGTCGCGAGTGGACACGTTCATTCCTGCTCTTGAGATCTAGTCTCCAGTCTTCCGACAGTGTTTGAAGAGCTGAGAGCACCCGTATAATATTTACCATAATATATACATTTTTTTAATTATTATTTATTTAAATTAAATTAAATTAATTTAAAATGAGTGCACGACAATGGACAGATGACGACATTTTTGAGTTAATTAATCTTTACGAGGAAAAGGAATTTTTGTGGAATGTTAATCACAAGTTGTATAGGAATCGTGACAAAAAAACGAGTGCGTTTGAAGAAATCGCGACAAAATTTAATTGTGATGTAAATGAGGTACAAAGAAAGATACATAACTTACGTAATCAGGTGTGTATATTAATTGTTAAATTGTATATTTAATATAAAATAATTTAAAAATAATTAATAATATTATATAATAGTTTATATAGTAGTTTAATATTTTTTTTATTCAATTGAACTTTTCAGGTTTCACACGAACTTCAAAAGATGAAAAAGGTGAAGAGTGGTGATGGTGCAGATGACAGATATGAAAGTAAATGGAAGTTTTTCTCTGCATTGAAGTTCATTGTACCCTGCTTTATACCAACAAAAACTACGTCAAACATGGTTAGTATAATATTTAAATAATTTGTATTTATGTCAATAAAATTGTATTTACTTATAATTATTCAACTTATGAATTGATATTGCCATTGAACCTCACCAGCAGTTGTCATAAAATATTCTCTAAATTCGTCTCTCACATCTTTTTGAGATATTGAATAATTCCGCTGCCGTCCCCTTTCTAGTGGAAACAATGTTCCTTCTGGTTGAAGTTCATTTCGCCATTCGCCATTTACAATTTCACGAGTAATAGGATTTTCCGAATCAACCGAACCCGGGCACAAATAATAATTTGATGTAGAAATCAAAAAGTTATGCAATGCACATATTGCCAGAGTAACATATTTTACTTTGTGAGGCGCTAAATGTATTGGTTTACGGAGGACTCTGAATTTACTGGACATAATGCCAAATACATTTTCTATAATACGACGAGCCCTGCTTAGTCTATAGTTAAAAATTCGGTTCGGCGCAGGTTGATTTCGGAACCCATAGGGCTTTAAAATGTATGACGTCATAGCAAAGGCATCATCTGCTACCATTATGTATGGAACTGGCAAATGTCTTTGAGGTAGTGCTTCTGGTTCGGGAAGAGTTAACTGTTTGCTTTCCAAAGCATCGTGTAGGGAGCAGTTATTGAATACCCCTCCGTCAGAAATTCTACCATTGCAACCAACATCAACATAAATTAATTTATAATTGGCATCTGCAACACCCATCAAAACAATGCTGTGTGTGTTCTTATAGTTATAGTAAAGGCTTCCACTATTTTGTGGAGCCACTATTGTAATATGTTTGCCGTCAATTGCTCCAAAGCAATGTGGGAATTGCCATTTTAATGCAAATTGATCTGCATATTTCTTCAATTCTTCTGTGCTAGAAGGACACTGAAGTAAAAATACATTATTGCTTAAAATAATTATAAAAACAAATCTAGCTTAAGTCAATAAAAAAATTTTACGAGCGTCTAAATTTTAAATTTTTAAGATTATAGAAATTTTAAAATTTTAAATTCAAGTGTAAAATAACGATTTACTATAAAATGGTTTTAGATATAACACTAGACTGACAACTCGTGTCCATTCAAAATCGTTTTTCTTCGTATATAATGATTTATTATTGAATTGAATTTTTTTTTTTTATTAATATATTATATTGGCCCAGGTCATTTACTTGTTTGTTGTTACCACAACACATTCTTTATTTATTTATTTTAGTTTCTTACTTTTCAGAGTATCCAGAAAAACTTGGAAAGTTCGCAGAGTGAGCCAACCCTAAATGAACCAACACCAAGTAAAAAAAAAGTTTCCAACAAAAGGCAGTCCCAAACTAACGATGATGAAGATACATATTTAAAGGAAGCCATTGACATTATGAAAAAGCCGAAAACCGATTTTGATCGCTTTGGAGATTACGTCGCTTTGGAATTAAAATCTTTAAAATCAGATTACTACAGAGGGCTTCTGAAAAGTGAGATTCGTAAATCAATAGCAAATATTGCTGAAATGGACGAAAGAAGCCACTGGTCTACCTATTCGAGTACAAATTCTTCATCATGCTCCACTCCAATGCCTACGCCATCACCTACTTTCGCTGAGAACATTCCTCCGTCAACAAGTAAAGAGCCTCAGACAACCCAAGAATACTATGATTCATTCCCTGATTTGTTTTAAGTAAATATAATTATTTAAATTTGTACTCTAGTTACTTAAAACAGTGATAATAAGTGATAATATGTAATAAAATATAAAGTTAAAAATGTTAAGTTCAAATCAAAATTAATTAAGGAATTGTTCAATAAAAAAAATAATAATAATACATGTTTATACATACCTTTAAATATTTTTCCTTTAAATTATCATAAATAGCTTGGCATACTTCGAAAACTATTTTTCCAATTGTACAAGGTGGTATGCGGAAAAGGTATTGCAAACTACTGTAAGCATCTCCTAAAAGAGAAAATGATACTTGAAACAAAAAAATCCAAAAACATATATATATATATATATATATATATATGCAGGGTGTCCCACGGAGATTTACACAGAGCGATTTCTCCCGTGTTAATAGAGATAATCTAATTCTGTTTTTTTTAATTTACTCATAGAGCTAAAATATTTATTTGATCTTCATTTATAACACGCTTACAACATACTATATATATATAAAACCACATACGTACCTGAAGCCAAAAAACGGAGGGTGACCATTAATCTGTCATGAACAGGAATCGCTTCACGCAATTGTGTATCTTGCTTGACAATCTGGTGTTTTATTAAATCCAAAAGCATTTCAAATTGCACTGCAGACATCCGAATAAAATTTTTAAACTGCTGTGCATCCTCCAACCGAAGCTCATTTACAAGATTTGAAGCGGCTCCCAAGTCACTTCGACGGTCCACCCATTTCCTAACCCAACATTTCTTTTTTCTTTTTTCTTTTAGCTTTCGTTTTTGTACAATATTATGCACAATTATAAAAGCTAGGGCCTGACGCGAATCCATTTTGTAAAAAAAGAAAGAAAAAACATTCAAATTTGTAAAAAAACACGTGTACTCGCGGTCAAGTCACACACAAGACTGTGTATGTTAACTCTCTAGTCGACACGAAATTGTCTTGGTCTCGAGATTAATGTCACTTTCGAGTCTCCAAAACCTATCTCGAGACCGTCATTGATCTCAAATGGATAACATCCCGAGATCAATCTCGAGACTTTCTCTCGAGCTATAATCTCAAGTGGACACTTACCATAATACTTACAAATGAAAATTAAGGTAATGTGGCGAGGCGATACTTTGGATGTTTTACTAAAAAGAATACACTTATGCATGGCAACTTTTTACTAAAACGTATGAATACAACACTGTACGAATGTATAATAGTCTGTATTTACTATTTCCGTATTTCCGTTCAAATTTCAAATACCTAATGGAATGATTCAAATGAATCAATTAAAGTCGGCCAACATTAAAAAGATATTATGTTGTTGTTATTCATTTGATAACAATTATTACTATCTTAGTGATAGCCAAGGTTTATAGATAATAATAATAATTAATTTATATTATCTATAAACCTTGAGTGATAGCACGGTATTTATCACGGACTAAGATCTATCTTAAACCGTGGTCTTTAGTTATGTATGTAATGATTATATTTTATATTGAAACATATTTCTATTAATCTGATATATCCAACTATCCAAGTCAATATATCATTGCTTAATGTTACGTCGTTTGTTTTATTGTTGTTCAAGGATTATTGTTTTGGTTAATTGCTATGGAGGCCCGGCATAGAAGAAACCAGTCAGCGAAATTGATCAATTTATCTAAAAAATATAATACATTAGGTACCGTTAAAAGCAGTACAAGTAATTTACCAAAGGATTCGTATTATTTGCCATTACGTCCCTATGGCATGCAGCCTGACTGAATAGAGTCAAACTCTAAAGTAAGACAATGGTTGCATCATGTAAATAAACACAAGTTAGTATACCATCCAGACACACTTTCTTGTTCGCAAAGGTGGGTACCATAATCTATATTTCATAATATGTTTATAATTGTTTACTTATTATAGTATTTTATTAATATAATTTTATTTTTTTGTAGTTTTTTTTAGGTAGAACATGATGAAGAGCAAAATAATGAGATTTCTAGCAGTGGTATAAATAATGAAAATGTTATTATACAAAATAAAGGTGTTCAGAATAATTCTGATAATATATTATGTACGACAGATTTTATGAAGTAAGTAAACAGTTTTTTTTTTTGCATATTATCTTATATAGTACAATGTTGTCATATATTCACTTGGGTGAACGATGCAGATATATCTCCACCCATTGTCTCTTTATTTTTTCAAGTATTGGGACCATTTCTTGTGATAGTTATTTTTTTATACATACAATTTGTCTGTATTATAGAATTATTGATTTGATTGTAGGTAAATAAATTATAAAATTGATTTAATGTTAAACATCAAATTTCAATCAATACTATGCTAGTTAATTATATTTCAAAAGTTTGGCCCACGTCAAGGTAATAAAATGTCATATACCACTGCTGTACAGTACTCTTTCTGGCTTTGTAGGTATTTCTTCCCATCCCTTTAATCAAAAAATAACTTGAACTAATTTAAGTTTATTTTTTTGATAATTAATTTTTAATTTTGTATTAAATAGTTTTAATGTAACATAATTGTATACAACTTTTTATTGGTAATTGATTAGTTTCCATGTTTTTTTAATAAACTAATTATAATTTTTTTAGAAATTATGACGATAAATATTTATTTGAAAATGAAGATATCACTAAGTCATCCGTTGAATGTATTTCTACATATCCTGTTGAGATATCAAATTGTAATAGTGATGTTTTATTTATTGGAAATGAAAATAATTTTGCTTTCAAAAGTATATCAATCTTAATAAAGTAAGTGTTGCTTATTTAACAAGAAAATTATGTAATAGTTTTATTTATTTTTTTGTTATGTCATGTTAATTTACATACATTTATTTGGTTCAATATGTATACAATATACATACACTATTGGTAATAACTAAATTGTATATTTTACAGTGCTAATGATGATTATGTATTTAGAGGATCTACTGAACTTTTACGACCCTCTATTTTCACCTACTCGTGTTACAATTTTTAACCATCATGAAAACCAGAAGAATATTGTTGTCAGTCCCACTACATATTTGTTAAAGTATAAATATTTTGCAATTGTTTTTATTTATTATTTTAATTACAATTTAGATATAATAATGATAATATATTTTGTAATACTATTTATTTTTTAGTTCAGTCGAGAACACTTATTATGATATTGTGGTTAATGACTTTAATGCATTAAACAATATTTCTCCATCAGCAGCTATTTACACTAACCATGATAGTAATTATTATCCCACTAAAAACACAGAAACTAGTCACATTGAACAAAATAGACCTGTTCGTAAAAAGTTTGTACTATATTAATTATTATTTAGTAATTCTATAATAATAAATTCTTAAAAATATTATTTCTAATCACGGTTTTTTTTTGTCTATGTTATTTAGTTTTACTGGAAGTGAAAACGAGGAGAACTCGAAAAAGTCGTCATTGAACAAGAGCAGTGGCGTGGTGGAATTTTTGGTTGGGGGGGTGGTTGGTACATTATGGTAATCAATTACATACATAGGCGCCAAGTGTATGGGTGCTCAGGTGCCTGAGCATCCATTGAAAATATTCATTGGGTGCAGAGCACCCAATATAATTATAATAGGAAAACCATTATCACCACGTTCATTGTATGATATCAGCGACTTCACAGCAAAACCTGGTTTTGATGACTTATGCCCGGAAATTTCAACTAAGGCAAGGGAACTGAATATTAAGGAGCCAAATGATCAAAAACAAAAAACCGAAAAGGTTTATTCAAAACAGTGAACAAGATTCATCTCCATTGGGCCGATATCAGTTAATGACAAATTTAAACGTATATATTGTGAAATAATACATGTTACTGTATCAGCACTTAATGGTAGATTTCAACAAAATGCAGTAATCGATCATTTATGTTCATTAGAGAAATTTGTAATCGGCAAAGACAAACACATCACCGACGTTATTGAATTTTATGGAAGTGATTTTAGCCAAGATAAATTGATATTACATCGAGATATGTTCTTAGACAGGTAATGCAAAATCTAGTGATGTCTCTATAAAAAGTTTTTCAAGACGCCGTAAATTTCATGAAATCTGATAATTTGTGCGACATGTTATCAGAATTTTCCAAACTCCTAACAATTATATTAACTATTCCAGTTTCATCTTGCACTGCAGAAAGGTCTTTTTCAGCATTAAGGAGGTTGAAGACATTTTTGAGATCAACGATGACACAAAATCGTCTTAATGATATACTATAGCTATTCTAAATGTCCATCGAAACGAAGATATGCATATAGAAAAAGTCGTTAATACTTTTATAAATGAAGTCAAAGTTCGTCAAAACACATTTGCATTGTAATGTTAAATATTTTAATTTTAATTGTTTAAGCTTATAATGTTATATAT